GTACGTGCGGGCTGTAGTCCCCTTTGAAGCCGGGGCGAATGCCACCGATGTGCTCATCAACGAGGTCCATTTCAATCGAACCGCATTGAATTACTATCACTACACGCTTTTCAGCAATGGGACTCTTTCCAATGGTACGGACTGCTATCTCGCCTTTAATCAATTCCAACCACACATGAACGAGAATGGGACTTTCGTGAACGGGACCTCCTGCTATGCACCCATTCGGGATATGGGTCGACATGCGTCGGCCGGCCTGGCTTTTGCCTTCATGTTTGTCTTTGCCATTGTTTTCACATTGATCAACATGCGCAAGCATAGCCGGCGGTACCTGCCTGCTGATCGCCGGTGGACACTCCTGGGCCGTCGGGCGAAATGGATCTGGATGCTTTTCATTGCCGCCTGCGGCACCATTAGCTGCTTCATGAGCATCGACGTGGATCGGGGGTACATCGTGAGCGTCCCGTTGATTCTGCAGAGTGTGTTCTACACGCTGTTGACGCCGGGGATGATGGCCGCGGTATGGGAGGCGGTACGGCACTGGTCAGTGATGATAAGTTGCATACCTAGTCTTGTGGAACAGAACTGATACAAATTGCAGGGGCTCCTGGCAAGAGCGACAGATCTACGATCGGGATCCGTATGCATTCCAAGTATCCAGTAGCCGGCAAGGGCAGGAGTTCGTGCTCCCGCTCGTCTTCTACGGATGCGCTTTGGCCAATTTTGTCTTGACCGTTCCGCGCTCCTGGACTGCCATTGAGATGCAACGCAGTCTCGACCAACAGCTCAATGAAGCCAAGCCAGTGGCTACAGATATACGATGGCGTGCTGCCGGATTTGTCGCAATAGCTGGCGTCTTAGTGATCTGCTACAGCCTGGAGCATAGCATCTACCGCTACCGGGCGCGACCAACCAGTACCACAGGTCAGCTCTTATTCTACCTGAATGCGGCTCCATCGCAATTCCTTATAGCTATTGTGTTGCTTGGCATAAAGATCGGCTACGCTATTGCTTCTGCCTTCGACTGGACGATATCCCCCTTGAGATACGGAGTCGATTCTGGATGGTTTTACGGGCTGGGATACACACCGGTGCTGCTTTTGCTCATTCTGTTCAACATCTGTGGATTCTGTGAACTGAATGAAGATAAGGCATTGATCGTGCAGCGAGACGAGTTCGACCATGCAGTTGCCGATGCTGTGGGTGTCGGGCAGAGGAAGCCCAGCTGGTGGAAGAAGAGCCGCACCTTCGTTCGAGAGCTTAGTGACCATCACCGACGCCGGGTCTCGCAGCAAGACGATCGTGATATGAGTCGATTTGTAGAGATGGGGATCATCAAACCACGAGAGCAACCGCAGAAGGACGAACCCAAGCCAGAGACATGGGTGACGACGCGGACTGCCAGCCAGGGTAGTGAGTCGACTGCGGTGGCGAGTACGGAGAGCAGCCCACCGTATGTCGAGTATACATTGCAGCAAGAATTGTCTCGTGATTCTTCTAACGAGACAGAGGTACATGGGCGCCCGCAGACTGGAAGGGACATATTGGGATAAGAAGAGAACAAGCCTGTAGGAATACAGATGTCATTGGAGGAAGTAGATAATTAGTCAGTTTGAGGTGTATCATGAGTTGATGATTATTTAGGCCAGATAAATAATATATATGGAAGCCAATGAAATGAAGTTATCCCCAGGTGATACATACCCATGCAGACTATAGATAATTGCACGTGACCCTATGATTGCATGTTTGATCGGTTTGCCTCACCTCCCATCGCAAAGCTTCAAGTCATCCTCCAACACCCACTTCACTACCATTGCTGAGACAGACCACAATTCGCGTCTAGATAACCCAAAGACGAAGCAGCGAGCAGGCCTTGCACACCATAATACCCCTCAGTGATTCTACCCACCCATCCTTCCAACTCACAACATGGAACCCGAAAAGCGCAAATACGCCGCCGGGCCTTCCCTGCCACCCACCAGCGAAGACGACTCCAGCAAACGCCGCAAAGTGATCGGTCCAGCCCCCCCTCCTCCCTCCGCCAGCGCAGACGCCAATACCTCCGACAACAGCTCCTCCGATGATGACTCCGACGATGACTTCGGACCCAGTCTCCCTCCGCCAGAAGGCACCGTTTCTTCTGTCCCCGACTCCAGCGCAACACAACCCGTCCCCTCCGCAACTACCTCGGAAGCGCCAAAAGCTCCTCAGCGCGACGCCTGGATGCTCGAACCCATTGACGGTTCGAACCGCAACTCCCGTGTCGACCCCACGAAACTCCGCAATCGGAAATTCCAAACCGGGCGGGGAGCCAACACTACGCCCAGTGCGGGCGGGCTAGATGTTTCCTGGACCGAGACGCCAGAGCAGAAGATGAAGCGCTTGCAGGATGAGGTGCTGGGTGTACAGACACGGCCTACTGCTCCTGATGCAGGGGACTCGGCGGGAGGAGCGCGCGGCGCACAGCCCTCGCGGGCTATGCAGGAGAAGATCCACCGTTTTAATGAGGAGAAGAGAAAGGAGGAGGCAAAGGCGAGGGATGCGGAGAGAAAGAAGAAGAAGGATGGAGAAGAGGAGGAGGATGATCCTAGTGCTCGCGCGTTTGATAAGGAGAAGGATATGTCGCTATCGTCGAAGATAACGCATGCGCAGAGACGGGAGATGATGAATAAGGCGGCGGACTTTGGGTCGAGATTTACGAGTGGGAAGTTTTTGTGATTGCGCGAAGCTTGTTCGGTATCTATCACGAGGGTATTGAACAACCTGTTTCGCATGGTTGCGGCTCTGTCGTACACAGGTGTCGTACGGTCTATCCGTTTGGTGATCAATTCTGCATAATGTGATGACTGGCGGCCGGATGCTGCGCAGCTCCTTTATGCCAATGGTCGTTTTGGACAGGCCCATCGGCCTGAACAGTCAACGTTGATCACATTCTTCGTTGGATTTGATAGCATCACCTGCTGTTCGATATCAAGGCTCATGGTGCCGCGCAAAGGACCGGAGATGCCATCCCAGGTGGTCGCCGCGGCGCGGTGACATGTTGGAGTACTGGAGAGTGGACTATGGCGATCATGGAATTGTCTTCTAGTGTCCTCATAGGTACAGATAGTAGGCTGATTCGCCGGAGTAAGATAGATTGGGTTCTCCGAAACCCGCCAAGATAGGAAGATCAAGATAACTTTAATTGGCGGCTGGGCTGGTTCGGATGGCGATCCCGCAGATAACATCTGGTGTGATCCTGGGGTACATCCACAGGCTTTGTGTTGTATATAGTTTATGTAAAGGCCATAGAGAAGCCTAGATGAACAAGATCTATTATCAAAATTAGCTATAATTATTATCACTTACGTAGAGGAAATAGTCAACGGAGCCATTGGACGCATCTCCGCGGGATGATCGGCTGATCTTATCAGACCATCGATGATGCGGGGAATGTTTTTGCTCCGCCTTGCTTCGGCTTCGTTCCTTGCTTTCATCATCAACTCTCCCCTCTCCTCTCTACTCTTCCCTCCTCATCCTCTCTCCCTCCTCTACAAGTCCACCACCATGAATCTCCGCCAAATAAACGCCCACAACCTCTCCACCTTCCGCCACCACTATGTCTCCGAGATCTCCGGCTCCCTCGGTGACCTGGGCACATTCCTCCCCATCGCCATAGCCCTAGCCGTCAACAACACCGTCTCCCTCTCCAGCACGTTAATCTTCTCCGGCCTCTTCAACATCCTCACCGGCGTCTTCTTCGGTATCCCCCTTCCCGTCCAACCCATGAAAGCCATCGCAGCCGTCGCCATCGCCCGCAGCTTCACCAACGGCTCCATCGCCGCAGCCGGTCTCTTCGTCGCAGCCTTCATCCTCCTCTTCAGCATAACCGGACTGCTAACACGCTTCGCCAACGCCATCCCCATACCCATCATCAAAGGAATCCAAGTCGGCGCTGGCCTCTCCCTGATAATCGCCTCCTGCAACTCCCTCCTCAGCAACCTCTCCTGGCTCTCCCCCTCCTGGGCCGACAATCGACTCTGGGCCCTCGCCGCATTCTGCTTCCTCCTCTCCACCACCGTCTACCGCACTGTCCCCTACGCCCTCTTCGTCTTTCTTCTCGGCCTCCTCTTCGCCTTAATCCTCGCCACCTTAGCCTCCGACCTCCCCTCCCTCTCCCTCTGGCACCCCTACACCGTCCTCCCCACCCCCTCGGACTGGTCCTCAGGCATCTTCGACGCCGGAATCGGCCAAATCCCCCTAACAACACTCAACTCCATCGTCGCAGTCGTCCACCTCGCCCATGATCTCCTTCCCACGCACACCAACTCCTCCCACCTTAACGTCACCTCCATCGCCCTCAGCGTCTCCGCCATGAACCTCCTCGGCTGCTGGTTCGGCGCCATGCCCGTCTGCCATGGCTCCGGCGGCCTCGCGGCCCAATACCGCTTCGGAGCGCGTTCCGGTGCCAGCATCATCTTCCTGGGTGTGTTCAAGCTCGTGATCGGCGTATTCTTTGGTGAGTCGTTGGTCGGGTTGCTGAAAAGGTTTCCGACGGCTTTGCTGGGCGTTATGGTTATTGCGGCGGGGATGGAGTTGCTTAGTGTGGGCGAGAGCTTAAATACGACGGGAGCGAGGGATATAAGGAAGGCGGTTGCGGGTCAGGCCGGGTTGACCGGGGAGGATTTGGGCCCTATGTTGAGTGATTTTGAGAGGAAGAAAAGGTGGATGGTTATGATGGTTACGGTGGGACTGTTGGTCGGGTTTAAGAATGATGCTGTTGGGTTCTTGGGGGGCTTGTTGTGTCATTGGGCTTTTGGCATTCCGGCCGCGGTGGAGTGGGGGGCGAGAAGGTGGAGAGAAGGGAGAGTGAGGTTGGAGTAGATGTAAATGTTATTTCAGAGGGGAGTGTGGTGGGGAGTGTATATATGTGAGTTCTGGGGTTGGGGTTTGGTTATAAGATATGATATTGATGATGTGTGATGAAGATATGTTATGATATGTGATTGCATTGCGTGCTGTTATTCTGTGTCTGCATTTGAAAGTGGTATCCTGCTGTGTACAGCTTTGTTTGAGCAAAGATGCTTTTATTTTCTATACTCTATATGATTAGTCTATCTCTATTTCCAGTCTATCTCTCTATACACTATATATGCAACAACTGTACAGTCATTCCCTGGGCCAGGGTACTGGCCTGAAAACTTCAACAAATCAACACACTCATCTGACACACTCATCTCATATGCACTTACAACCCCTCGCTCTCATGCCACACAACACACCACTGCACCACGACAAGCAGAGAGTCTATGGCTTTCCTCTACTCCGCCTTCTTCGAAGCCTTCGTCCGGAGCTTCATCAATGCAAACACCAACGCATAGCCACTAATTGCAAAAATGACCGAGATTCCCGCGTCCCGCCATCCGTAAAAGTAGTGGTTGATATTTAGTGTGGTCAAGAAGTCACTTCCACGGCGGTATTCACACACCCTGCAAGTCGAAGTAGCATCCGGGTTGGTCAAATTGACACGCCAGCCCTGACCCGCGATGTAGTCCTTCAAGTATTCAGCGCAGGTGCCATTGGTAGGGTTGAACAGCGCAAACTCGTCCTCGTTACAGGTCACCTTGGCATCCCACATATCGAAGGTGAGCATTCCCGAGACGACATAGTTGAACGGGTTGAGGTAGTAGAGCCAGTATTTCCAGAACACGTTGAGTTGCGTGTATGGAACGAAGATGCCGCAGAAGAGCACCAAGACACTGATAATCATGGGGTTCACGAGTGCGGCAAATGTTGGGTTGGGTGCGTATGCTGCAATAAACTGGCCAATACCCGTGTAGATGAACTCGTAGATGAGCATGATGAAGAAGGTGGCACCCGCCTTGTTGGAATCATGAGGCAGGCGTACGCAGTAGTACCAGCAAAGAAAATACAAGACTGCGCATACACAAAGGTACGGGAACTCGGATACAATCAGACCAATGACGAATGAGATCCATGAATACATCTTTGACTTCTTCTCTCGTGCATCGTAGATATCGCGTCTCTGGATGAACAATGGTTGGAGCTGATTGATAACACCTGGTGCAACGAAAACAAAGTTGAAAATAGTGAACATCTTCAACTGCAGGGCTGTCACGCTTGGACCGACCCTCCAAAATGAGAAACCGTTGAGCAGGGCGGAGATGATATGCAGGGAGAATTTATTGTTAACGTAGTTGGTATTTCGGAAAAGAGCCACGTTCATTCTGTGGGTAACGATCTTCGTCTGCTCCCAGAGCGGCATCGAGAACTCGCATCCATCGTCATTTACACTGGAGGGCTTCGAGGCAGCCTCAGATATCAAGTGATCAAGCTCGGTGATCATCTGCTGATGTTCAGGCGACTCAAGCCAAACCTGGTGCCAGTCTTTGTCCTTGACGCTCTCGATGCCTCCGGTGACCACGTCGATCATGAATTCGGCTGGGTTGGCCTCAACGGGGCATTGTGCACCATATTTGCCGAAATAATGTTTGATTGTCTGCCCATTATCGCCGATATCGCCAAAATACACAGTTTTGCCGCCGCGTGCGAGCAGCAAAAGAGTGTCGAACTGCGCAAATAACTGGGCAGAAGGTTGATGAATAGTCACCAAAACAGCCTGTCCAACATCGGCTAACTTGCGAAGAAACCGCACTGTATTATAAGCAGACTGTCCATCCAACCCAGAGGTAGGCTCATCCAAGAAAATCAAGATGCTCGGTTTGGATACAAGCTCCACACCAATAGTCACTCGTTTTCTTTGTTCCACACTAAGGCCATTGCCAACTGTGCCGATAAGAGTGTCTGCCAGATCATGAAGCTCAAGCAGGTCAATGATGGTATCAACATACTTGAGTTTCTCTTCTCTAGGGGTTGTCCGGGGTTGGCGCAATAATGCAGAGAATTCTAGAGATTCCCGAACCGTAGCGAACGGTTCGTGAACATCCAACTGCTCGCAGTATCCAGCCATTCTTTGAAAGGACACAGGTAACGGCCGGCCATCAACCATGATAGACCCAGTAATGGTGCCCTCCGTCTTTCGCTGTGCAAGAACATCAAGTAAGGTTGTCTTGCCCGCTCCTGAAGAGCCCATAAGCGCCCCAAGCATACCTGGCTTGACCCAGCCGTGGATATTATCCAACAAGACCCGGTCGCCGGAAGGTGTTTTGACAGTGTATTTGAGGTTCTTCCAGGTAAAGACGGCAGTATTGCGGGAAAGGTTGCCATCCACCTCCGCAGTCGTGTCGCTAGTGGCAGCTTTAGTTTGCTCCTTTTCCTTAATCTGAGACTCCTCGTCAATGCTTTTCTGGTGCTGCTTCAAGTTTTCACGGGGGATCAACAATGAAGCACTTCCCCCGGCACCGGCTTTCCAATATGTGGTGCAAATAATCGTGAGCACGGCGAAGAAGCCCCACCACGCCCATACGACCCCGAAATTCCTCCAGAGCTGCGAATGCTTGTAATGGAGCGAGGAGAGATACTGGTCACCGGTCACGTAGTCTGCACCAGGCAAAGCACCGCCTACTCCAGTACAAGCTTTGTTGGCAGAGTCGACATCCTCATATCCGGGGCCGGTAGGGACAATATTCTTTCCGACACAAGGGATAACCTGACCGTGAAACTCATTCGACAGCGCTGCTTGGAAGGCATAAGCCATTGGGTTGGTGTAGTAGAGCTCGAGGAACCAATTTTTGACCTTTGGTTTAGGGATCATATAGCCAGCATACATGACGATTCCTTTGATAGCGGTTCCCGAAATCTTCGAAGCGGCTTCGAAGGTACTGAAGGCTGCACCAATGCATCGAAATAGTGCTGTAACACACTAAGTAATGTTAGTTGAGAGCTATTACTGGGCTTGGAATGACTCACTAAGGTCGTGGTGAACAGGATGATCCAAAAGGTGAAAAATGCCGCTGCTGTTGCTTTGAGCCCGACCATCCAATATAATACGACCGAGAAGATCGTGCATTGGAAGAGTAGCACCGGAAAGTCAGCTGTTATCTGCGCCAAGCAGAAGGCAGCCGGATGGTAGAAAGCAAATCCCTTATGCTTGATGAGCACAGGGCGCCCTTTAAAGGACTCGGTAACCTCGGACATAGCGACGATCGTGTTGTACAACAGGGAGAAAAAGACTGCTCCACCTTTTGTGAAGAGTCCGGCAGATGTCTGGGGAGCGTTATAAAAGCAGGATCCGGCAATCAAGGCCATAACCAGAGACAGGATCTGTTTGATCAAGAATGTGGATTTCTCCCCCCACAGAATCTGATACTGGCGCCGCGTACACGCGAGAACTTGGGTCCCAAATCCAGTGGTGAAAGGACTCTTCTGTGGTTGGTGCGTGGTCTTTTCGAAGGCAACAGACTCCTTGAATGCCTCCGTCCGCTCCCTGGCAACTGTGCTTGTGGGATAGTCGTATTCTGCTGTCATGTGGCTGTAAATAGCTGACGCCTTATACTCTGCCATGATAGCATCGGCATTTCGCGGAAACCTGTTTTCATACCCAGGCCTTATCCTTCGCTCAGTAGGCACGGTCACACCTGTTAGGAAGTCACCTGGCAAAAGGTAGATGTTAGTCAAGATTCCGTAGTGGGGGATGATTTGAGACGACTAACCAACATTGGCACCGTCGGTATAGACAAACCCCAGGTTCTCCATGAAAGGTTTTGCTGCAGCTGCAGGGCCATAGAAGATCTGCTTCCCCTCGTCCAGAACCAAGACCTTATCAAAGAGGTTGTAGATTCCATTCCCCGCTTGATACAGGGTCACAATGGTTGAGAGTCCGAGAACGTTAGTCATCGCTCGCAAAGCCTTAGCCCACTCCAATGCAGTACTGGCATCGAGACCGCGGGTACTGTTGTCCCAGCAAAAGACAGATCCCCTTGTTGCCAGGCATTCAATGATAGATACTCGCTTTCGTTCTCCTCCTGATACGCCCCGTACAAACTCGTTTCCCACCTTCGTGTCGGCGGTATGTGAGATCCCCATAGATTCCATGAGGAACTGCTTTGTCTCAGCAGTATACTCGCTCACAGATGCGGTACCATCAGGAAGATGAGATGGAACTTTGAGCCGAGTAGCAAAGTCCATTGTTTGACCAACGGTCAACCGGGGGTAGAATAGCTCTTCTTCTGTATTCATCACAATATGGCTCCGATATTGAGCTGCTTCTTCATGGGACATATTTCCAAAGCTCACGTCGCCCTTGATGGTATGGTAGCCATGGCGGCGATTGGAGAGTAAATTGAGAAGAGTGGTACACCCCGAACCCGGGCGTCCCAATACTAGGAGCATCTCCCCTGGCTTGACACAGCCGTGACTTTCCGTCAATATAGATTTCAGGGGTGGTTTCCGGGTGAAGTCACGGATTCTTTGAGGTACGTTGAACTGGGAGAATAGGTTCTCATTGACTGCTGCCTCCGCTGCAAGGACATCCACGCCGAGGTTCTTCCAGGTCACACCTAGCTCTCGCTTCTTGAATCCTGCCGCAGCCTCACGTTCCTGGCTCCGAATGACCTGCGGGGTCATGCTCCATTCTGCGTCTTTCCCAGGAGGGGAGGTGGTGTTCGCATGGGGTACTGTCAGGGTTTCTGAACTTGGAGCTTCTCGAACATTTATATGGGGAACATTCAGTGTGTCGAGACTCTTTCGTTCTGGAATTGGTAAGTCGGAAGACTTTTCGTCTTCCGGGAACCCAGGAGAATTCATGACAGCTGAATTAATAGCCGGACAAGATTGATGATACACAAGATATTGTATTTCTGTAGTTCACGAGAATGGAAGCATCTTATATACATTTACGGAGCCCCTAGGGGCATCCAAGAATGATGAAGGGCCTCTAGTAATACCTCAAGTAATTTGGGTGAGCCGAGTACCCGTGAGTGGATTACTTACAGATGAGAAACATTATGTGCACCGTGCACCTGCCATCTACTATCTATGAGGTTCCGGATCTGGTTCAGTCGTCAGGGCGGATGATCGGCTTCTATCGTCTTCCCAAAACGGCAATATAATGCAATGGCCTCGGTTGTTCGCCCCCATAGCTGTTTCACAGTAGATGAAATGTCCACGACAAATTCACGATAGCTCGGTGGGTCGGGCTTCTAGAATACCTCGGGAAGATCATTATTGTCCTCGCTTTTCTTTTCGATGCCGTAGGGATAACCATATTCCAAGTAGCAATGTTTGGCTGCAGCAAACTGCGGGTGGCGAGGATGAAGCGTCCTCCGTCAAACAGTTGCGCTGGGTATGTTAGTCGAATGACCGGATGTCACGCCCAATCAATATTTCAGCAGACGCGTAGCGCTTGAAACTCTTCAGGCATTGCGTTGAGGGGGCGGCATGCCGACCAGATCTGGCGGCATAGATAACCGACAGTCTCCCTTTTTGAGCGTTGCCGACCTATCCGGGTATCCAGACAATCCACATTGCTGAGGTTGTCCAGACCATCGATAGTCTTGGCTAACCCACAAGAGCCCTGTTTAACGAAGCAATGTCACTATCTGTCTGCATAAGTGATCCTATTCCACTTATATCCCGCAACGGTATCTGGTTGGCAAGGAGGTCATCGAATTAGGTATGAATCCGGGCTTCAAGTGGCGCTGCTTACTTACTATCGGAAGAGGACGAGTGGCTTGGCTTCAGGAGCGGAAAAGACCGGAATTGAAATCCGCGAAAAATGCCGGACGGTAAAAGGGGTGGATAAATCGATTCGAACGAGGAAGATGTCGCTGGCTAAGTTGGGGGGTGAAGTGAAAAAAGCAGAAGTTGCTGCAGCCTACTCGACTTGGCGGACTTAGAGCCTCAGGTTCTCCATCCACATTCCTTCGCTCTTTCTTCCACCACAATAACTTACCGTGCCATTTCAAGGCGCATCGTCCTCATATCTTTCTGATAACTCGTCCAGTTTCAGGTAAGGGTCCCTGGTGCATACCTAATTTAGACAATTGATGAGGATGTAGCAATTGACACAGGAGACCATCTAGCAGATAGAAGACATACTGTATGCAGCACAGCATAGAATCAAAGCGAGCTCGTGAGAGTGCTTCCCACGGGATACGCCAAAATACTCATCTATGGTGTCGACACCAGTATTTCCCAGGATCAGGTGGGCTAAGTGAACTGAATCGGCATTCCGTGCCACTGACTCGTCAGGACGCGACGAGCGCAAACTAGTATGCACACTCAGCGATCCCCTCCTTATATAAGTTAGACATTGACAGTTGAAAGGATGGAACAAGGACAAATCGAAGAGACGAAGACAGGTCTTATTCTATCATCAGATATCACTTTAGTTTGATTTGACAAGTTTGCCATATCGCCATACATGCGTGATGTTCTTCGGATCAGAGACCACTGTTATATTCTCTAGTGGGTTTGCTGTCAGTGCGATGATATCTGCGTCAAATCCCTCCCTCAACTGGCCACTCTTTGGCGCCTGGTCACCGAGTGTTAACGGCCCATTGGCTGTGGCAGCTTCAACTGCAGCCAGCGGTGTCATGCCTGCCGCAACCGCGTACACCAGTTCTCCACCATTGCGTCCATATCCCAATGCGGGATTATCCGAGCTGATGAATTGATCTGTACCAAGAGCAATAGGCACGCCACGTTTGACTGCTAGCTGATACGCCCTCTTATGCGTATCAGCTACCTCGAGCAATTTTTGGTATGAGCCGGGCGTGAAGAGATCACGCATAGCAAGTCCGCTTTCGATAACACTGCGTGTTGCCACCAACATAGCGCCCTTCTCTAGCATCAAGTCGATAGCCTCTTCATCCAGATAGCTGCCGTGCTCAATCGTGCGGCAACCCGCACGGAGAGCATTCATGATGCCTGCCTTGCCATGGCAATGAGCGGCCACAACGCGTCTTGCCCGCGCCGCCTCGTCAACAATAGCTTTAAGTTCTTCGAACGAGAATTCTTGATGCTGCGGGTCGTCGATAGCGCTCACTACGCCACCACTGGCGCAGACTTTGATGACGCGTGCCCCGTGCCGCAGCTGCTTTCGTACGGCCTGCAGACACTCAGGCACACCGTCTGCGATTGTCAAAGGCAAGCCATGCGTGCATAGGTCACGCAAGCCCTCGAGATTCACACCGTGTACGTCTCCATGGCCTGCGGTCATGCTGATGGCGCTGTGCGCACCGTAGATGGTTGGTCCTGGAATGCGGCCCTCGTCGATGACTTTGGCCAGCTCGCAACCGTATCCTCCGACTTCGCGGACTGATGTGAATCCCGCCATAATGGTTGCATATAAGTCAGGCACACTTCGTGCCCCTGCCAATGCTTGTGGCGTATTCACAATCGAATCCATGCTCGCCGCCGTTGCGCCTAAGAAATGAATGTGGCAATCCCACATGCCTGGCATGGCAACGGGGACATTTGTGGTAACAGCATCCTGATATTCGACTGGTACTTCATGCTGCGGGCCAGAATAGAGGATTGTTTTGGATTTCCAGACCACAGCTCCGCGAGGAATTGGTGCCCCCCTTCCTGGAATTAGGATACCTGCGTTGATGCGGTAGAGAGTGCTGTCTGTCAGAGGTCGATGCATAATTAAAGGGGTAAGTATGAGTTCAACGCAGTTTCACAGTTCTGACACTGACAAGGATGTGATCCTAGTCCAGCTAGGAAAGCAGCATATATGAATTGAATGCAAGATGCCGAGGCTATGTGCTTATTTGACGTCGTGTGTCCACTCGAAGCTGGCTGATTTGTCGATAGCGACCACATAAGACGTGGATCCAGGCACTCGCTCGTGTGATGGCCGACATTCTGGGCGAGGCCCGTTTGGGGTTGCAATCTACCAGATCAGTAGGTCGAAGCGAGGATGTTCCGTGCCTATTCTGGCTTAGTTGAGCATACAAGCCATGACCGTAATAAACCGGCGTGAGCCTAAGCATGCCGCTAGTCGGAATGGTAACACATCGGCGGGCCCAAGCCTCGGCAGCGGCGTCACGCCAATAGCCCTAACGGCGCAGCGCCAGATGGTACCGTCAACTAAACCCGGGTCGAGACCGTACTGCATATGATAGTATATTGTCCTGAACGGAGGTTAAAGAGCTTCTCTGTCCTTCCTTTGCTACTCCCATCGCCCTAGCAAGGATTCTGTCTATTCAGAACCACCATCCGACATGTCCGCCTCGGACAGTACCAACTCCTCTCCTCCAACGGAGGACGAGAAGAGCTTTGCTAAGGGCCCCAGTGAGACTATCCAACATCTTTCAGAGAGGGAGGAGAAGGCCATCATTCGCCGCATTGATCTTTGCCTTCTTCCATTGATGTTTTTTTCATACTTGCTGCAATATCTCGACAAGACCACCTTGTCGTATGCATCGATCCTGGGCCTTCTGAGTGGCACGGTATGCTCCGATCCCGTGTGCTCCTCAGCTTCAGCTTCACCTAACATTATATCAGCACATGACCACAGCTCTTTACTCATGGACCTCGAGTGCCTTTTATTTCGGTTACCTAGTCGCATCCTACCCTGTATCCCTGGGTTTTGTAAAATTTCCGCTCGGAAAATACCTTTCTACTATGATGTACGCTAGTATCCTTCCAACCCATATAAAAATATACTAACGGGCCAGGATTCTATGGGCTATCGTCTTGACATGCCACGCAGCAGCTTCCAACTTTGCAGGGATGACCGTCCTACGTGTACTTTTGGGAGTCTTTGAAAGCGCCATAAGCCCCGGGTTCACCTTGGTCGTGAGTATGTGGTATACGCCATCAGAGCACGCTCTGCGCAGCTGCATTTGGTTCGCAGGCAACGGCGTTGCTGCAATCTTCGGAGGCGTTCTCGCCTACGCCATCGGTCACATTGAAGACAGATTGGGGCCGTGGCAATGGCTCTTCATCATTTTTGGACTGATCACCCTGGTATGGTCGATATTCCAATTCTTCGTCCTGCCCGACTCCCCACATAACGCCAAATTCCTCCAACCGAATCAGCGCGAGCCCGCCTACCTTCGCGCGCAAGCATGTCAGAAGAGCTACCAGAGCCGCGAATGGAAGAAAGATCAATTTATTGAAGCATGGCTTGACCCGAAAACATGGTTCTTGTTCGTCTACAATTTCATGGTCTCTCTACCAAATGGAGGCATAACAAACGTGAGTTCTCTCAGCCATCTGAATCATATGAACGAAAGAAACATGCACTAAACCAGTAGGCAGTTCTCTAGCCTGGTTATCGAGTCTTTCGGCTTCGATACCTTCAACACTCTCCTGTACAGCATCCCCATGGCTGCTGTGGCTCTCGTCTTTCTGCTTGTTAGTGCATTCACGTGCAATCGCTTCCGTGGTCTCCGCTGCTACTGGATGATTATCACTCTTCTGGTCAGCCTCATCGGTATTCTCCTCATGCGGCAGCTCCCTACCGAGAAAAAATGGGGTCGGTTGGTAGGGGTCTGGCTCGTCAGTGTCTTTGGTGCAGGATGGCCTCTTAGTCTTAGTCTGGTCTCAAGCAACTTTGCCGGATTCACCAAGAAAAGTACCGTGACAGCTATACTTTTCATTGGGTACTGCGTGGGAAATATTGCCGGCCCGCAGTTATTCAAGACCAACGAAGCGCCAAAGTACTTGGTAAGAGCCCTCTCTTCTATTTCACTCAGTCTTCCTTTGTCTGCTGTTATTGAGGTACTGACGGTACGTGTAGACTGCGTTCGCTGCTATTCTGGCCTGCTTCTGCATTGCTGTCGCGGATGTCA